TAGACCGTCTAATAGAACAGCTCACACTTCAGAATGAAGATTTTGCTATAGTGTAAAGTGACACAAGAGAGAGATCATGGGGACCGCTAGGCAACGTTACACAGACCATGTTGACAATCCCTAGATAAACAGACAGCATTGGATGCATCTGTGTCCAGGTTTTCCTTTGGAGGAAACACAGGGTAAAACATTTCTTCCCTCGACTGTCTTACCTGTTTCTTTTAAACATAGGCTAATGAGGCAATAATGCTTTTTCTATTTAGACCTAAGCTGAATGATTTCCTGATTCAATCTGCGTAATCCTCATATTACATCAGAGTTCCTACAGCCGGGTGTGTTCAAATCTAAGCCCTGTGCATATTGTTTATATAGGTGATTAAAATAAGACAACAGAATAAATAAAGACAGTAGAGAAATTTTATATGATTTTATATTCTTTTGAAAACAAACTTCAGGAGTTGGTAAAAAATATGAAAATATTACTTCAAAATTCCTATCCTAGATTATATAACGTTCTGATTCAACTTGGAAAATGGTCTCATATGCATGTTATAAGAGCATTCAAAAACAATTAACTTGTGAATTAAAATGTAGGCAAGGTAAAATATAATTTTAACTTGAGTTGGTTTTTAAATATAAAATCTCTAGGTTAATAATAATAAGGAATTAATTTTTATTTATTTATAATGGTAAAATTATTTGAATAGAATCAAACATCTCTGATTTAAAAAAAACGGAAGTTCTTCTTACATAAGATATCTTTGTGTCAAATTCCTGAATCAGAGTGCCCTCTATTGGAAGAAAATAGGAAATTAAAGTTGTACTGAACTAAGGAAAAAGCAGTCCAAGTTACATCACAAAAATCTAAAATACATTTATGAATGATATGATGTTACAGAGCATATTTTCCTTTTATTTTGTAATTTCTTAATTAATTTTGAAGTTATGAATAGTACTAAAACAAACAAGTCAGATATTTTGGCGCAAAACTGCACGTCGTATTGCTGGAAATATAAACAACAAAAAATGTTTTCGATATGTAAAGCTTTGATACAGCACAAAAATAATTGTAAGTTTGGACTGTTGTCAGAGTATAGCATAGTTTAAATTTGTATCATGATAAGAAGACAGTCTCTGTCCTTTCCAGATATACATACTGATATGTCAACCCCCAGAAGAGTAGGAGCAAAAAACTCTGGGAGGTACCCAGGTGATAAGCACATAGCCATTGGTGGTGAATAATGCCTCCATGCCAAGTCAACCGAGAGCCTGATTTTCCTGATTTTGCTGAAGAGCCAAAACCAAGATACTCCCTAGTTCTAGAACTTAAACAAAAATGAACAAGTTAGAAAAGTGAAGAAGTTAGCCACGACAAGACCTACAAGATTTGTTCGAGCGCAAAAAAAAAAAAAAAAAAAAAAAAAAAAACATATTGTATGGTGTTATTAACCCTGCTCTCGTGTTAGGCCTGAACTGGCTTATAAAGATTCTGGCAGGATTTTGTTTCAATAGATCAACTAGATGCCCGTTAAAATAACGTAGGGGGCCTCTCTAAAAACAACTGGTAAGAGCAGCCAAGATGTTTATTTCTAACATGGACTTGCTGTGTAGCCAGGGCTGGCCTCAGGGTGTTATATAGCCCTACATAGTTGTGATCCTGCTCCAGCATCTTAAATGCCGGCATTCACAGATATCCACCATCACACCCAGCTCCCTCTCAACTGGTTTTGGCTTAGGGGCTAGGACATATGAGCACTTATTTTTTAAAGCCTTTCCTCATTTCTCTAAGGCAAACTCATTGATGAGAACCACAGTCTATCCCCCAGAATACCCAATGAATTGCCACCTTTAATTTTCCAAACTATCAAGGGAACTCCCTTAGAGTTGGTCTCCTGATCTGTCTCTGTTCCCTGATGACACAGGGAGTGATATACCATACAACCCAACTCCAGAGTCAGGATCTGAGTCGAAGTATTCTGGTCATGTGACCCTAAAGGGGAGAAATGATCAACGTTTCCGAGCCTTCACTGTCTCATCTGTAAAACAGGAGAAATAATATGGCCTACCAGGTGTTATCACCATCCATCTAACCTTTATTTTCATCTTGGTAAACCATTCTTTCCAAGTTACACATGGATTCTGACCTCTGCGTTTGCACGCACTATTTTCTCCAGGCTGTAAACCTCCCTGATTCAATCATTTCAAGAAAAGCACAAGGTATATCCCACCTCCCCTCTCTCCAGGAACCATTAGAGTCTTAACCCACACCCAGGAAGCTCCCGGGGAACACCAGTAGATCCCTGATCTCTCGCTTCTTGAAGTTTCTTTGGCCACAGGGTAACGTACGATAAGAAATGCAGCTGAGAATTTAAAATACCAGTTCTTGGTTTAAATCTTCAGCGTGGCAGATGCCAGATGAGTCCTTTCCCAAATTTATAATTTCACTATTAGGACTGTTTAGTAGTGGTTTGAATCACATAAAATGTTAGAATAATAGGTAGCAAGCACCTATTAAGTATCAATTCATAATATACATATTTATTTTATGTGTTAGTCTTGTCTACAAACAGTGACTGAAGGCTCCTTGAGATGGGAGTCTTGAACTCTCTGAAGTCAACTGCAGTCTTGCATAGTGAATCTACATACCTATAATTTTAAACACAACGATGGCCGCCTATACTAGGCGACCTAAAATCACTTTATTAAGCTGTCAGTATAATGAGGGGACAATCCTTAGCAATGCTCGAGGAAAGATACTTCAACAAATGGAAACAAACAAGAGACAGAACAGATGAATACAGATAAGAAATTTGCTAGATTAGGTCAAGGTAATTGGATGGCTTTTGGAACATTCAGTGATGTTTCTGCCAGATTTATCTTCTGAAAGACCAGTTCCAATGATGGCTTTTATCTGACCAAATTTTTTTATGTTTTTCTCATTTCCTAAAGAGTAAATATCAAAACTCTAAGCCCAGTATTCAAACCACCTACACCTAACTACATTAATCCCTTTAATCGTATTTCTCATTCTTGCCCTCAGTAAATTCTATTACAAATAAATGGAATCTCTTGCTCCTATGTATACTTTCTGCTACTCTGCCTTACTTAACCTTTGGTATTTTTATAAAACAATAACTTCAAGGAATACAGTTAGATTATTTGTCACCAGAACTAAGAGTGTAGGAACGTCTGGGCTCAACTAGGGAAGACTTAGTTTCAACCATGAGCATTAGTTTCTCCCTTGCTGCTACCACAAGGCAGTCTTCAGTTAGCGAAGCAAAGTAGCCACCTTCTCCAAAACGTATGTGCGCCAAGAGCCCCTATCCTCACTCCCTAAAACGTATACGCCTACATCACACTCTCCAAAAAGAACACAGAGCCCAGGCACACAGGATGCAGGGTAAAAGAAAAAACATTTGGAGCTTCTGCTTGACTTTGTCTCTGTTTTCCTAACTGAACTTCTTGATTTCTTGTGAAGTAAATCTCTCTTGGTTTGCGTGTGTAGCACTAGGATAGTGTGTGTGCATGTGTGTGCATATAGATAGATATTAGTGGTGTGTGTGTGTATCTATATCAACATCAACACATATATATCAACACACGAGGAATGTTTGTCTAAGTTTGTTTGTGAACTTATTTAATAAAAAGTCTTTAGAAAGCATTGACCTAGAACATTAGGGCTTTGTGGAAATCTGTGGGTTTCAAAGGATGATCTAGAATTTGGCAATTGATAGAAAGCTTCAGGGATGGCTATAAAAATCCAGGCATCCTGTATTAGTTCTATGGTTCAACTACGCTCCAAGTTCTAAGTGGCTTTCCAATAGATGTTAGGCTACAATAATCTGTACTTTGAAGACAGGTTTTGACTTCTAAAAGGGGCATTTTATGCTGATGAATATAAATATCTCATTAATAAAAGATTTTTATTTTGTAAAACCTATAAACTTCTGGTGTAAGGTATATATAATTATTCCAGTTATTTGTAATGGACTGGAGGAAGGGCAGTAATGGGACAGCCGCAGAGGAAAAAAAAATGGAACAACAACCAAAAAAAGTAGGGCTGGGAGGTAAGTTTAGCTGTTGAACTAGATCAGCAGGTGCTTTCCGGAGAAACGGTGTCACGCCTCCCTTCCAGGAGCAAAACGAAGTACAAGTTCCCGAAACGGACAAGCACCATACTTAGAATTGTTTTGAATTTTTAAAATAATATGACATACTTATCACGGTGTACTCTATTATACACTCTCGAGTAACGTGCGGGACTGCTCTAGCAAATCAAGTCCTAAAAGTGAGTAAATAGTTTGTATCAAACAACCTGTTTCCTTCAATCCTCTACAGACTATGAATCATGCCTTCATGGCCAAAAATGGGCTTATAGCCCATAATTTAAAACTAATCAATTACATTTTTTTTTTGCTATTGTTGATAGAAAAAGCCACAGTGAACAAGGATATCTAACTCATACTTTAGGCCCTGAGGTCACAAATGGGACTCGCTGGGCATCTAATGTCATGAAAACATGTAAGCTGAGCTGGCCCACCGTAACTAAAGAATTATACATGTGGCTTTGCTGTATTTTGTTCTTAAGGAGGAGTTATAGAGACAGCAGAGAGGACAGACAAAAGAAATGGGTTTTTTTTCCTTCAGGAGTCCAGGAAATGATGCTCGATTAAATTAAATATCCATTCTCAAAGAAACTGCAACTTGCATGTCACAGAAGGAAGTCTAACCCTAGTGACACCATGACAAACGATTCGCCCTGGGCCACCCCCTCAGTCCGTCCCAGCATTCTTCTTCCCCTGTACCCGCTGCAGAGAGACAACCCCGGGAACAGTAGGGAAAAGCTCACAGGGAGACTGACTGACATTCGACATAGCGAACCTGATAACCTAGTGAGTCGACCATTCCCATGCCACGGTGGCACACGCCACACTGGAAAGACAGACGCAGAAAGACAGACAGACGCACGCATTGTCCTCATGCCCCCCCCCTTTACTTACTACACTCTGGCTCCCATTTTTCCCAAGTTCTTCCTCTGAAATCTTGCTCAAATTATCTAGGTAGTGGTCTGAAATCGTATGGCACAAATCTTCGAAGGAATAATCCTTCTCCTGGCAGAGTTTTATTTCATCCAGGAGTTTTGATAGTTCCCCGGTGACAGTTTCGCCTAGAAGAAAACAATGGTTTTTTTTCAGATGTTGCAAGAAATAGTATTACTAAAGTGTAATGTTTAAATAATATAAATATTATATAAATAATATAAATTAACATAAATAATATAAATGAGACTGCTATGTTGACAGAAGACAAAACACAGCAAGTAAGTAGGTAGAAAAATCTGGCCAAAGCAAGGTACTAAGCATAATTAACATATTTGCATATTCATATATTTACATAATACATAGCCACATGTTTACATAATGCATATGATATATTAACATAAAGTAAGAAATGACCATGAGCATGCTAACAGACAGAGGAAGTTCAAAGTTTGGCTACAGCTATTCTTTGTCAAAATAGAACTCAATATTGAAAGTTTAAGGACAAATAGTCCTAACTAACCACAGCTTTACTTATGATAGGATCTGACTTTCTGTGGCGGCAGAATGGGCTTCACACAGGCTAGGCCAGAGCTAACTGCTGACACTTGGATCCATATCTCGATTCTTACTGGCATTTTACTCCACTGACAGGATCCATGACTCATTAACAAGCTTAAAATAATGTCAAGAACTTACTTCCTCTTTTCAACGGACATAAATAGTATTAACTTCTTTAAACAAATAATTATACATGTGGACAATTGGAATTGTGATATATGAGAAAAGGGGGGAAACGGAGGAATAGACAATATTATCATCTGTCAATTGACAAATGGGCTAAATGCCTAGACTTCTATTTCTCCAAAAAAAGAAATACAATTGGCCCATGGATACATAAAAAAAAAAAAAAAAGTTCAGCATCACTGACAATCAGGGAACCAGGAATTAAAATCACAAAGGGATCTCATATCTCGTGGATATCATCAAAATGATGGGAGAGAGCAGGTGTTGGTGAGGCTGTGAGTCAAGGAGAGCCTGCACACCGCCGTGCGAATACATGCGCCACTGTAGAAAACACGCGTGGTCTTGGGTACCAGCATTCTACTTCTTGTGCTGACCTCAAGTAAAGGAAGTCAACGTCGTTAAGAGAAATACACATAGCCCCATTTTAGCTGAAACCCTGCTTAGGATGACTGAAATATGAGGGAAAGTTAAATGTCCATGGTTGGAGAGATGGATAGGGAAAAATAGAAAAACAAATAACAGACCATTGTGAACGCTTAAACGAAGGGCTCCTTTCTTTTGAGAAACACTAACGAAACTGGCAGTGATTTTGCTGAGCTGAATGAGGCTGAAATAAACAAATACTGCTTGATCTCGCATACATGGGCAACATATAAAGGTTTAACTTATCAAGGCAGACAGTGGGACAGTGGTTACCAGGGGCCACTCTTGGTGAGAAGGGAATGATGGATCTAGTGATTAAAGCATTCACGGTTTCAGGTAGGGGTGAACAAGTCAACTCAGGGCATCTAATGTATAGCGCAGTGCAGTGAAGATGGGTAAAAATACTATCGTTTGTCCCGGAATTCCCCAGGACATTTGATATTGTTCTCACCACATAAAGCTGTCATTATGCAAAGCGATCCATATGTTAATTAGTTTGAATGTGACAGTAAAGTCACAGTGTGTGTGTGCATGTCAAAACTTCACAAACATAAAATTATTCTTTGCCAGATATGCCTCAATAAAGCTAGAGAAGATACATTCGAAATTTAATAAAGCTAGAGAAGATACATTCGAGACAGAAATCTTTAATAAATAAATAAATTTTTTAAAAAAAATCTCCAAAAAAAAAAAAAAGAAAAGAAAATAGCCATTTCTACTCCACGTAAACTTTATTTCGGCAAGGATTGCTAACTACTTAGATCAGTGCCCTATGTCAGCGCCACGAGCCCTCCCAAGCAAGCAGCAGAAAAATCTATACATGTTGACTGAGTAAGTAAGTATACAAAATGCAAAGCACAAGCCACAAATGACTAGACTGGAAAGGTCCACTGGTGTTGGCCCATCTACTGCACTTTGGGAGATCTGACCGGAGAAGTCTGGTATGACTGTTTCCGGGGCTTTCGTCAGGTACGCACTTTTACTCTTTTGGGAAGGAGACTCGGCGGGAGATGAAAGGTGTGTCTCTTGCGGTGTGTCTTCCTGAGCATGCTCTCCCAGGACGGCTGACCTTCCCACGCCTTCTAAATAGTCTGAGAATACAAATTTCCGAGGTTATGCACTTGGATGTGTGGGTAATAAAAATCAATAGCTATCACGAGTTCTTCAAAAAAGAATAAAACGAAACTGAACCAAACCCGGAGAACTTCAAGAGAAGCTTAATAAAACGTTTAAGTAAAAACGTGTGTTTCCTTAAAGATAAACATGTTCATTGGAGACACAAGTGCCTCTTGCTCTTGTTAAATATTTTCTGTTTCGCAATTTAAAGTCCCCCAGAAGACGTTTCTAGTAGACACTGTCACTAACACAGAGACTTCAAACCAGATGACTATAACCAACCTCTTGAGTAGCAGAAAAAAAAAAAGGTGGTGTAGGCTTGAAAGATAAGCATAATATCTGTGCTACATTTTACTTATATACAGAAAAAATACTCACCCCTGTTACTCTTGAAATAATGTCCTGCATGCAACTTATCTTTTGCTTTTGCTTTTTCTATAAAGTCCTAATAATAACAGCCTAGTTCTAAATACTTAATATGTTCGCCTGTGTAATCCTTACGAAACTGGCATGTTCACTATTGCTAGCTCAGTTTGCATAAGTCTGGGGCGTTGATGTTGTATTCGAGATCTGAGAAGGGACCCATTATGTGGCCCAGGCTAACCTTGAACTTGTGACCCTTCTGGCTTAGCTTCAGGAGTTCTGAGATTCCAGGTATCTATCACCACACCCAGCTCTACCTCAATCTTAAAGACGACAACTTAGAAGAGGAGTGTTTTTAATTCATTCTGCTAACAAATGGTAGAGCCTGAGAGACACAGGACATGAAAACATGTCACCTTTATCATAATACTAAGGGAAACTACACTGGATACCCGGATAAATGTCAAAGAATATTCAGCCTGGCTAACACAGGAAGCACAGGGCATGTGCAAGGCATGTTTAATGGCAGGTGCTCCATCTAAAAGTTTGGCACTTATATAAGCCAGGAGCCTGTATTTTCACAGACGCCAAAATTCTAAAGATTTAGCTATAATTCTGGATTTTTTTTAAATGCCAGCAATTAATTTTGTTCTTCAGAGTACAGTGCTCGTAAAATATGTGTGACCTAAAGGAAACATATCTGCCACACCCCAAAAGAGTTCAGCCTGTGTAGGGCTGGTTTATAGCCCTCTTCTGATGGAGAGTGAATCAGATCTCCCACTGGGGTCCTTTGCTTGTATTCTTTATTCAGAAAGAATCTGCTTCATGAGAATCCACTTGTGAATATGTGTGTTGTACGCCAGCCAATTGTGTCCCCGCACCCTTAGAATAGTTTAGATCAAAGGACAAGTCTACAAGGCAAATTCGACCAGGAAAAGAAAGTAACCTGCAGAATCGTATCCTGAAAATTTCTGGACCATGCAGTAACTATGTAAATTTAACAGCAATATTAACAACAACAACAAAAATCCTTGTAATTTGTAATTACAAATTGGCAATTTATAATCGGGAAAGCCATTGATAAATTGACTTTATTTCAATACCACAAACATCCAAGAAAGGAAATAATATAAGGTATTTTCCAGTGATAGGAAATACTAAAAATTCTCCTAATACACCCCAGTGCAAACTGATACACTTAATCAACCTTGGCCTTTAATGAAGCAGACAGTTTGCTCCGACAGGACATTTTTATCATACTAAACCATGTAATATGTTTGGAAACCCTAAAATTTTATCTTGCCCCCTTTTAGTAAGAAAATTTTATTTTGCTTTCTCCAAAAATATAATATCCACAAAAGTCAGGATTTTTAAAGTTCCGTTGAAGGCAAAAGTCTAACCTGAAATACAAATGCATTGAGGGTAGATGATAGATAAGAGCAAGGTATGCCATTTTTCTTTTTAGTGTTCATCCAATTTGACTTAATTAGAATTAATATGAAAAGTCATACTTGGATTCTCTGATTCATCTGGAGGTGTTCTGACCTGCATTCATCTTCTTTATTGACAAAGAAACAAAATTATAGGGGCCTAAGCTTCCAGGAAAGGCTTTAGAAGTCAGTTAAGAAAGGAGCATGGTGACCATTTAACCTCCATACCCATATGGCTTTCCCTGACCCCTGTATCCACATTTCCATAGCCCCCCCCCAATCTGGTTTTCATTCAGAAGTTTTCTTACAAAGCAATGCTGTTCTTCACTTTCCCATCTGATAAGGAGCTGTCTTGCTTCTCTCTCCACTATTGCCCTTGTGACCAATCTACCTGCAGGAGGAATGACTGGCGTTCTTTCGGCCAACTACACTTTTGGCTGTTGGCGGTTCAGCCTTCATGTACTATCTCTGCTACACGGCACAGGGCAGAAATAGGACTGTGAGCAAGCAAAAAAATCTATCAGAGCTCCAGTGTCCCTCGTGAGTAAGGTTGATGACACATAGCTACTTCATAATTGTAGAAATCAGACAAAGTTATAGAAAAGTCTCTGAAAAGTATCTTATGGTGTTATTCAAAGGGAAGATAATATTGGATCATTACCATTTCCTAGGGCCTATTAACTTCAAGCTAGCATGTTCCACATTTACTACATGATTTTTTAAACATTCTTATATCAAGTAGTACATGAGTAACTCTTTCAGTACAGAGTAAACACAGAACGAAAACATTTAAATGAATTATTATTCATCTTAAAATATGCCAGGAAAAATACAGAAATAATGAGCTAATTAAAAATCAAACACTAACTCAAAGCCCCGATTAAAACTTATGACAGCTTCAATTTAACCGTGGCTGTAAGGCAAAGTCACCCACCATCCGATATTGCTTACCTTGCAAGAGCGTTGCAATCTGGAGAGATTTCTGGGACGGATGCTCTTTCAGAATGTCTAAGACAGTTCTACCTAAACTGTCCTTGATGTTGGCATCAATTCCTGGAGGAAAAAGAGAAACTAGATGTACCACTGGAGTGTCCTCGGATGATACTGCCAATATGTAACTGTTCTAATTTCACACGCATATAGGCCAAGCACCGAAGGTGCCTTAAAAACTAAGTTACACACATAAGACTTTAACAGGAGAGAAGGCAGGGGCCGAATGTTGCTAATAATGTGGAAAATTCTTGATAATGAATTGACTCTTAGAGTTCTCCGACACTGTTATAAAGATTGCTTTGCAGGACCACACAGTCTCTTTGGGGTTGTGGCTAGTATATTAAATAAATAGTATACTATCAAAGTAAAAAATATTTCTTACTTATAAGCTAAAATTCTAAAGTGTAATGGCAAAGTGATTTGTATAATCTGTATAATTCAATTTTAAAATGTTAATAAATGATAATCATACATATTATGATGTAAGAATACTTAGAATATTCAATGTAAGCAAATCTGGAAAAGTCTAATTATTTCAAGTGTCTATGGACTGTATACTTCAGATACCCTGGATGCTCATTTCTTTAAGATTATCTCCAGGGCCGGCCACACTCATAAGCTATTTCAGCAAACTGACTTAACTGTGTGACTGAAACATTTCTGATATGATTTAGTTCCAAAATTATGTGCCACACTAAAAAAAAATTATTTTGATGTAGCCATTAGAGTTCCAGCACTCTAATCCAGTGTGTGAACTTTCTGAATACCTGATTTCAAATGAAGCCAGTGTGGAGTATTTTACCCCAGATGCTGGTTCACTGTAAGATTACTAAACACCAGCTTAAGTTTATGTGAGAACATAGGTATTAGGTATTTAATTTGCGTTTCAGGTCATTTATTCTATTACTATGCTGCATGTCAAAATTAAGTAACACGAACATTTAACATAGTGAACACAGGAAAAAGGCATGATAGCCTGACCATGGCTTCCGTTCACAGAGCCAATGAAACACACTACACTACAGACCATGGCTCACATCAGCTGTGTGGAGTAATGATTTGCACTCGTATCTTTCTAGTCTCAAAAGTCTGACCTCAATTTCAACTTATCCCATTCCAGTCAGAATATATATAGACGATAAGTAAGCCTACCTTTGTTTTTCCTTCAAAATATTCCCTCTAAAATGCTCCTTTCAAAAATAAACCTTTATAGCCAATGAACAGCTACTCAGCCAAGGAGTAGTGAGAAGGAGAATTTGCCCTAAAGAGCAGGGACCCAAATCTGTATGGCCATGGGTCACAGTGGAAAAGACCAAGAGTCCACACCACTGCCATAACTCCTCGGGGGCCAGTCCCTCCATCTTGCCGAAAGCAGAGATCTTCCTTCTCCTCTTGGTGGTTTCTTCAGCACGCTTGGATATTTATATCAACCTTATCTGATCAAAGCCCAGTTTTACACGGTAGGACTCCCGCTCTGCAATTTGGAGGAAGGGGTCATTTGTGAAGAAGGCCGCCATCTTCCTTCAGCTAACCCTGAAACAGCCACAGTAGCTGGCAAGGACAGGCTCCCGGGAGCACAGATAACTACCTGTTTCTAACAGGACTCGCACCACGTCCACCTTCCCAAACAAAGCCGCTTCGTGGAGAGCACTCCCCTTTTCTGTCTGAGAAGAAAAAGAAAAAAAGACAGAGCTGCATATGGAATTCCCACAGAGTGTACAAACAGCCACTCTTAACAGATTCTGTACATTGCCAGCACTCTGGGTCAGAGAAGCAGCAGGGAGGGAGGTGTTCCAGGAACAACATCCAGAGACCTGTGTTTGAATAGTTACGCTATGTTAAGGAAGTGACTCACCTTCTCCTTGCCTTAGCTGTGCTCAAACATCAACTAGGAGCTGAACGCCCTTTGCAGCAGGCTCTTGTGAGTGCCCACGAGTTCACTCAGCGGACATCTATTAAACATGATTACATGTCCATCGAGCAAAGGGCGTTCTCAGAAATATCTCCTGGACCTTGTATAATCCCACCGCATTGAAGAAGACAAATCTGCAGATAAGCGTCTGTGGTAAATGAAATCTAAACAGTTTGAAGTGGCTCTCAAATCCTGGATGACCTCCATTTTCCTCTGCACACTCTCTCCTTTACCCATAAACCTCCAGTGACCCATACTCTGCGCTCCAGGAACACTAACCTTATTCATTCTCAACGCTGTTCTCTGCTGTTCCTGCCAAGGATCTCAGATTCATTCCTGAACAGGCAGCTCCAGCTCTCAGCCCTCTAGATTTGGATAACGCTCAACTAACTGCTTGTTTTTCAATGGTCAACATGAGTTCTTGGACTCACTAGGAGAACTTGTTAAAAAAACATAATCCTAGCCATGCATGGTGACACATTCCTGTAATCTCAGCATTTGAGAAATTGAGGGAAAGGATCACTCCAAGTTCAAAGGCTCACATAGCGAGCTCAAGGCCAGTCTGGGACACATAGAATGACCTGTGACTTCATCTAAAAACTGAAAAAGAAGAAAGACCGCAGGACTGAAAAGGGGATGATGGCTGAGTGAGCTAAGAACACTGGCAACTCTTCCAGAAGACCCAGGTTCGATTCCCAATACTCTCATGGCAGCTCTCAGGCCTTGCAACTCCCATTCCAGGGCATCTGACACCCTCTTCTGTCCTCCTCAGGCACACGACACATATGTGCTCTACAGACACAAATACAAGCAAAACACCCACACACATAAAATAATAATAATGATGATGAAATGAAGAAAAAAAAGAAGAAAGGCAGGAGCAGATAGGTAGGAAGAAAGACAGGGAGGGAGGAAGGAGGGAGGGAGGGAGGGAGGGAGGGAAGGAAGAGATATAGTGAAGGAGAAAGGGAAGCTGGGAGGGAAGAAGCAAGTCCTTGGACTCCCGGAACCCCATTCCCAGTTTCTGCTTCACTGACCAGAGATGAGGTCCAAGAATCTCAGTCTCTAACAGGTCCCCATGATTCCCCGAGTCCAAAGGAATATACTTTGAGAACAGTCAACTACATGACAGTCAGAATCTTAGCTTAACATTATTTCACTAAGGAAACTGTTCGTTGCCCCCAGAAATCCATGGTTTTTCTGTGTACTTCATATCTATATGTATTTTCTTCCCCTAGCATTTATAATAAATAACACATCATAATTATGCTCCCCGAATCAACCATAGGCTCAGTGAAAAGGCAAACAGTATCTCTTTTTTCCAATATTCTTCCTTGAGGAAGATCAGGAAAGACTTCAAAGAGAAAGGGATTTTTAGGCTAACACAAATGTCCTCTGTTTTGATTTTTCTTTCTCTCCTAAGAATCTAACGAATGCCAATTAGTTCCTCAGTGTTTGCTGTGAGTAAGGTTAATCTGGCAACTTTGTCTTTCTGCCTTATAAGGTAGCCACGAAGTTGATGTTAAAACCTCGATTTGAAACACACTATCACTCATGATAACGTAAGATGCAAATGTTTCTTTAATTAATAAATATGTATTCTGTAGTTAAAACAACCCAAAATAAGCATATTGGGGAAAAGGATTAGAGAACATGGAATATCAATGAGATCTGTATGTATCTTCAAGAAGTATGACTCAAGTTCTCTGAATTAAAATGTGACTGCTATGGCAGGCGATAATATAAAAGGAAATAAAAAAAGCAGTTCATAAATATACAGCTCTGAACTGAAGAAAAAACTGTAGAAACAGCTTCAACTCTTTAAAAAGTGTTTCTATGTGGACAGAGGCATTTTCCCCAGTTCTAGAGAGTAGATAATAAGTGTCCACTTTAATCTGTTTGTTGCAGTTTGGGTATCAAATGTTTCTCCAGGGCCATGTGTTGAAGGCTTGGGCGCCAGATGATGACCTTTAAGAAATGGGTCGTAATAAAGATGCATTTGAAGGATATTGTGGGACCCTGGCTTCTTTAACTTCTTTTTTATTTAAAAAAATAAAAAACAACTAATAGAAGTTTCTCGTGTGTGAGGGGCATATGCGCACCTACTGGAAACAGAGGTTGATGCTGCCACGTCTTCCTCTTTGGCTCTTCCACCAGTCTTTTCGGCAGGGTCTCTCACTGAACCTGGAGCTCACTATTTCGGCTAAACTGGTGGGCCAGCATCCCCTGGACCCACCTGCTTCCGCCTGCCAGCTCTGAAGTTGCAGATGTGAACAGCCATGTCTGGTTTTAAGTAGATGATACGCATCTACTCACATCCTCGTGCTCACACAACAGACACATCGAGCCGCCACCCCACCATGTTTCTCGTGCTAGTCACCACGAGGTGAGCATGGTTTGCATGTGAGTCTCATTGTGGTATGCAATCTTACCACTATCCTAAAACAAAACGAAAATAACCAAAGACGCTCCCTGTGAACCTGCTACTGCTTCAGCCTTCTCCCCAAGATCTTACTTCTCTTTACTCCGCTGTGTCAAGAGTCCCCTTCAAGCACAGCGGAAGTCCCTGTCTAGTTGCGGAAGTCCCTGTCTAGTTGCGGAAGTCCCTGTCTAGTTGCGGAAGTCCCTGTCTAGTTGCGGAAGTCCCTGTCTAGTTGCGGAAGTCCCTGTCTAGTTGCGGAAGTCCCTGTCTAGTTGCGGAAGTCCCTGTCTAGTTTTCTTGCTGCTGCAACCCTGATGCATGGCAGGCAAGGCCTGGAACTCTGCTCACACTCAGTGAACACATGTGAACACACGACTGCATGAAGCTACACTGTTGGTGTGCCTCTTGTAACTTTGTCACGGGGAGCTTCTCCACTAAGAATAGAGCGCTTATCTGATGGTACCAGGGTCCTTCTAAGATGATGCCACAGCAGAGAACTCACTCTGCATTTCTATGTGGAAGAAAGGTCACGCGAAGGAAGAAATTAACAAGGCAGGAGGAGATTGCTTACCAAGAACTAGTTTGGCTGAGACCCTGATCCTAGACTTGGTAACCCGTGGGGGAGTGGGGGGATGAATGCCTCTTACCTAAGCTACTCAGCCTAGGGTATTTGTCAGAGCAGCTTGAACAATGAAGAGAGGCCAGGGGAAACCAGAGAAACATAGGAAGCGAGAGATGGAGAGGATGTGGGCTAAGGTGATACTGTGGACAGTACTGTTAAACACAGCTTAACCTCGGAGCCTGGAGGATGTGCTCTGAGGAAACGAAGGCAACGCATGAAAGATGCCCAAAGTCTGGTGACAGCGGAAGAATGTCCCTGGCTGAAATGGGAGCGGGCAAAGACTTGGCAGCCGTAGAAAGAAAGGGATATAACAGCTAAACGTTCGGTTTGGGAAATAATGAGTCCGCGATGCTCGTTAGCCATCCAGTAACACATCCAGGAGGTAATTACACACGGTAGTTTAGAGTTCAGAGTAAAGTCCAGGGAAAAAAGAAATAAAGAGAAAGGGAAAGGGAGACAGGGAGAGAAGGGAAGGGGGAGAGAGAGAGGAAGGGGGGAGAGAGAGAGGAAGGGAGGGAGAGAGAAGAAAGGAGGGAGGGAGAGAGGGAAGGGAGGGAGGGAGAGAGGAAGGGAAAGAGGGAGGGAGGGAGAAAAGAAGGGAGGAAGAGAGAGAGAGGAAGGGAAGGGGAGAGAGAGAAACGGAGGGAGAGAGAGAGGAAGGGAGGGAAGGAGGGAGGGAGAGAGGAAGGGAGGGAGAGAGAAGAAAGGAGGGAGGGAGAGAGGAAGGGGGAAGAGAGAGAGAGGAAGGGAGGGAGAGAGAAGAAAGGAGGGAGGGAGAGAGGAAAGGGAGGGAGGGAGAGAGGAAGGGAAAGAGGGAGGGAGGAAGGGAGGGAGGGAGAAAAGAAGGGAGGAAGAGAGAGAGAGGAAGGGAAGGGGAGAGAGAGAAAGGGAGGGAGAGAGAAGAAAGGAGGGAGGGAGAGAGGAAGGGGGAAGAGAGAGAGAGGAAGGGAGGGAGGGAGGAAGGAAGGGAGAAAGGAAGGGAGGAAGAGAGAGAGAGAGGAAGGGAAGGGGGAGAGAGAAAGGGAGGGAGAGAGAGAGGAAGGGAGGGAAGAAGGGAGGGAGAGAGAGGAAGAGAAGGAGGAAAAGAGAGAGGAAGGGAGGGAGGGAAAGAGGAAGGTAGGGAGGGAGGACAAAAGAAAGGAAAGAAATTTGGTACTTAGGAGATAAATATGTCTTTGGAGCTAAGAGGCTAAATGAGGTCAACACAGAAATAAGAGCAGACAATAAGGAAGCATGTCTGTGTGTCAGGTCGTGGGATACTGACCTGTGGAGATCAGATGGCAGCAGGGAGCAAGGGATGAGGTGAGAGGCTACCGTTTGGCTCCTCCTGCTGTATGCCTTCCACAGTATGAATTTGCGAGTCTGCATATTTTACATGGAAACCACTAAGAAGACGGGATTACTTACACACATGTGTCCTCCAGGCTCCTGACAGGACCTTAAGCTTTAGGCCACCTTGATTTTTAAGGGTTTTCCTCATTGCGCCATCCCATGAAAACCTACAAATGTCTGTCTCTGCTGCCAGCTCCCACTCTTCTTCCATACGCTAGAGCCTCTAAGTTATTAACTAACAGTTCTCAATCACTCCTGGCCACAGCCAGTTGATTCTGCATTACTACGCTGGGATATGGCCATTTGTGTCCATCCCAAACACATACTAGAACTTGTGTTCTCCTGTTGCAGCTATACCTCAAGAATTATGGGATATGTAACCTAATAATACTGAGTTCGGGCTATCTTATTTTAAAAAGTAATCACAGAAATAAACAAACATAAATCAAATCAGAGACGGGATAACAACTAAAAGGAATTGTGAGATCATGGGCGTTCGATTTAAAGACAAGAAATATGCTAATTTTGTTGCGTCCTTGTGTGAATGTTAGAGTTGAGAAGGAAAAACAAAGTTAAGGAGAGTGGGATTATTGCCGGCACGACCTATCCCAGTAGACGGGGGAGCCAGACCAAGAGGTACAAGTGTAGAGCTGAATGGTTACAAAGAGGAAGTTCACTTAAAGGACCAGGAAGGAGAGACGGGTCTGTGAGATGTCTCAGTGGAGGAGTACTTGCTGCCAAACCTGACCGCCCGAGCTCAATCCCCTGAACGACGAGGTAGGACAGAAATGACTCCTCTGACTCCTTGCAAGTTCTCCTCTGACCTCCACACCTGCCATGGTGCACACACACACACACACACACACACACACACACACACACGCAGGCAAAGCAACATAAACATAAAACAGAATTTTAAAATTTTTTAGTAAGTTGAACCAAGAATACCCAAGAGTCTGGGAGAGGTTTAAAGAATTTACTCAGACAATGGGGATGTTCTATTGGGATCTCACCAAGGCCAGCTGGCCTAGGTCTGAAAAAGCATGGGATAAATCCGGACTAGCTGAACATAGCGGACAATGAGGAATACTGAGAACTCAAGAACAATTGCAGTGGGTTTTTGATCCTACTGCACGTACTGGCTTTGTGGGAGCCTAGGCAGTTTGAATGCTCACCTTACGAGACCTGGATAGAGGTGGGCAGTCCTTGGGCTTCCCACAGGTCAGGGAACCCTGATTGCTCTTCGAGCAGATGAGGGGGGGGGGACTTGATTGGGGGAGGGGGAGGGAAATGGGAAGCGGTTGTGGGGACGAGGCAGAAATCCTTAATAAATAAATAAATTAAAAAATAAATAAATAAAATAAAACCACAAAAAAAAAGAATTTACTCAGAAGTATAATAGAAGTGAAAGACTCGCTGATACAGGGCAGGTTAGATGCTACCATAGTCAAGGGAAAAGAGCACCAACAGCGAGCTGCCTGCTCAACTCCTACCATCCATACTAGCCGGAGAGCAGCATCACCTTTGAATGCGTGGAGGGCAAAAACACTCACTTGACAGCTCACATCCATTCCTGCCTCCAGCAGCACCTGGACCACTGCCTTGTGACCATTGCGGGCGGCGAGGTGAAGCGGCGTGTGCTTCCGGGTGTTACAGCTCATCAGGTTTGGGTGTGCGGTTATGATCATCTTCACCACTCTCAGCCGTCCGTAGAGGGCCGCCAAGTCCAACGGGGTCTCGAGCTTGCTGTTCCTAATCGTGGGGTCCGTGAGCTCTTCCAGGAGAACAGCAACGACTTCCGAGTGTCCGTATTGAGCGGCACAGTGCAGGGCGGTTTCATTCTCATTGTTCTGTTAGGGGCAAAGGTACAAAAGGCATGTCTTCAGAGATGGGATTAGCTATCAGAAACAACGATTTAAAACTTGGCATGTGTGGGAATGTAAATTTAAATGCAATATATTTGGAAAATATACCTGGTCTTATTATATTTGATAAAATAATCATCATGTTTTAATCTTATCACTTCAATGTGAGAAATTAAACTTTTCTCTACATCACATAGTCCAACTTCCAAGAATGATGATTTAGCCATGATAGTCAGTCCCCCTGCTGGGTCCAGATAGTCAGTGTTCCCTGCACTGTACATGCCTCCATTATATTTGTTAATAAGGAAGATTAATAACAATTCTAACATACTTTTAATGCCTGACTTTGCAGACAAGACTTGAGATGATAAATTCTTGATGATGAGAGATTTACAGAAATGTTACCCAACTTTCTTTTTATTTTAGATAAGTAAAAAAAACATTGCTTTCATTATCAACATGGTCAGCAATAAATATAAATCATTGCTACTCTTCTTGGCAAAAAAGAATGAAGAATCCTGTCCTTAAGATAAGATCCTTTCAGAAACACAGGTAAAAACCAAGCCTAGAACCACAGTCAGGCAAGCAGCCAAGAACACCAGAGTACGGCATCTGCCCCGACAGCAATTCCTATTGAACAACCAAACAGATTTCTCTAGAAATTTAACAAGGTTTCTGTTTTTGTTTTTTAATGAAGTCAGTAACAAGGCAAATTGACCCGTCATCCAATTGGCACAGATAGATGGGGGTCTTGTCAGTCGGGAGAACTGTGAAGAAATATTAACGACAGAAGTGAAGTGATACTGAATAAGGGCTCTAGAGAGAAAGCTCAGCTGCCCTTACCATAGTTAACGCTAGGCATCAGACACAGGCGCATCTCGTGTCTCTACTCACTTGGTCCTCGTTAGAAGATGGGAGCAATCATTATCATCACCCTCACCTGCAGGGTGAGGTAACTAAGGCACCGAGCAACTGGATAGTAGGTCTTTGATTCCATAGACATTCCATGGTGTGTGGGGGAGCATGAAGTTAGACACTATGCTTCAAGTTTCTTTATGTTTCCCTACAGCCTGTGGTGGGACAGCATCACTGTTAATGTGCAGCTAAGACTCACTTGACAGCTCACATCTCTTCCCACAGGATCCTGAGGACAACAATGTGAGGTTGCATGTAGCCCAGGATTTAAACAAGTAGCCCCGACCTGAAGTCTAAACTACCAACATATACCACCTTCCATCACAACGGTGGGGATTATACACACTGGCCAAACAGCTACAAATTATCAAAAGCTGTCTCATTAACTCCTAGAGAAATCTAACAAGTTTGGTACTAATATATAGGCTTCACGGATAAGGAGACTAAAATTGAAAATGTCACGCTACATCGAAGAAGAATCGGGATCTTTTGTACCTGTCAAAACCTAAAGCCCACACTCTCGCTGCCTCCATCTGGGGCTACAAAGGCAATCTTAAAATTTTCCAGAGATTCCACCCAAAAAGCACTGAGTTGAGAGAAAATGGCTTCTTAAATAGTAGCTCCTACAGAAACAAAAAGATCAATTCAAACCCAAACAGATCTTAATCTTCCAGGAACAAAAAACACCACCCCAGACTTGTGCTGGACCAAAGAAAAATGTAAACCAGTAAATTAAGGGGCCAGAGGAAAGATTTGAAAACTTAAAGAGAAGTGGGGTGGGGTGGGGTGGGGTGGGGTGGGGTGGGGGAGGTGCACTGGGAGAGAGAGGCTCCTGACTCTGTGTGTCTAGTATCAAGACAGGGCAATGGGAGGAAAAAGAACATAGAGGCAAGCTACTCTTGAGAGACAGTGGACACGTAGCTGAGGTCAGACAGATGGAAGGGAATCCTCCTGCAGGTGTTTCTCCCATTGTTTCTAAGAATTAACCTTGTGTTTAGTTTGGATGGTCTAGTAGCATTTCCGTCCTCACGGAGACTGACTACCTACAGTTTTAGACTTCCTAATTTTCTAATCTTATCATTCTACCAACTTGACAAGAGCCCCCAAGCTTATTACTTTCACGCATGAAAATATGACAGAAAAATATGCTTCCTGACCAACCCAATTTCCCCTTGGTCTGAAAAAGGACTGAGGCTCATTTCTCAAACTGCAACATCTCTCTGGGAAAGAGAAAGGCCAATCATGAAGTAACGGCTCCTCAAAGGTCTACATTTCCACAGCCCTGAGCCTAGAAAAATAAGAGCAAAATCCTAAGTCCTTCTAATAATACCAATTAGTGCTATTCAAATCTCAGGAGAAATTATCTCCATCATTAAAGACCTATTTAGGAGACAATGTTCACAGATTTTTATCCCATTATCAACACATGCTTGGGTTTTCTTATCAGTGGAGATTACAACTGTGGAGTCTTTAAAAGGGCAAGAGGATATACTTGTGTCCACACTCCCTAGCAGCCTAAAAAGAAACGTCCTACTTAAAATGAGTAGATAGTGATGATGTATTGATTAACAATCACTCGTGTATCTATAGAGAACGCTCTTCAAAGGTTCTCGGTTCTCCGTCTTTAACCAAATCGGTGTTCTCTGAATACTCAAGAGTGTGACAATGAGTGACCGAAGAAAATGGCCGACAAAACCCATGTACCCAAAGACCTGAGTTCAATGTGAACTACCCACCACAAGGAGAGCTCAAGCTCCAGGAAACGGCAAGGACAAAGTCCTTTTGAGATGAGGGTCCTCTAATTTTTTGCCCCAAAAGTAAATTAAGGAGGAAAATAAAGACAAGGTGAAAGGAGAGGCAGGTAAACGGGCATAGACCACAGGGCATGAGAAAAAAGATAAGACCATACTTTCTACATTATTGCCATATAGTACCAGAGTTTGTCTTACTCTTAATTAATTAATTGTGGAGAACTTCATTCATGAGCACTGCATCTACAGCACCCTACCACCCTTCTTCCCATCTCCAACTCCTCCCCACTGCTCCTCCCTACAAATCCATCCCCCCATTTAGCACTGGCCTGTATGTGCATGAGTCCGGGGATGTCCTTCCCCGTTTTATTTGATGGCTGTCATTTGCATCACTGCTTTTGAACAAAATAGAATGGCAAACAGGACTTACCTGGAAGTGTTAGCAATCCCCTCATCCACAACCCATTTGATCCCAGAACCATCCTCATCTGTGTAACAAGAATATTGTCTTCTCTATAAACCATGCAGTGTGGCTCACAAACCAAACAATCACATGTACGGATTCTTTTTCAAACATTAAAATGTAAGAGTGGATTATTTTTAAACATGGACTCCCTGATATTTTTAATCTGGATGTTTTATGAGCTCGGTAGGAGCCCCAAGGTTATTTTAGAGCATGAGAAAACGACATAGAAAACCATGCCCTGCTAACTGGTGCTATTAAACGTACAGTGCATACAAACCAATGACGTCACAGTCCGCAATTCCGGTCAGTTATTCTCAGCAAAGGTCTGAAATATTAAACGGAGAATTCCAGAAATAACTCGTACGCCCTAAATCACGTGCTGATCTGAGCATGATGGAGTATTGACCGTTCCACGCTAGCTCAGTCCTGACACGCATCATCCCTGACCACACTTACTGGTCATCTCATCCATCAGACCCACCGCGCTACTGCGGAGCTCGTACGACGTCGCCCACGGCGCGGAAGCAATGATGCAAATGAGGACCATGATGCGAAACGCAGATGGACAAGCGAACTCTGGCACAGTGTGGCGACGCAGCGAAAGTATGAGAAAAGCATTAAGTGAGATCATTAAAAAAAAGGGGGGGGGGATAACGAGTGAAATACAACATAAGCATTGGCGCTTTTCCAAGTAACGACGAAAGCATTTTGAAACGGAATAGCTTACAAATGCTTTCCAAAAGAAAATCTGTCTCCTCAGTTGCCCACGGTACTAGCTGGGGACATCTTCCTGGACACCTGCGAGCCCCTCTAGAGTCAAGTCTCTTGCCAACCCTAAGATGGCTCCCTTAATTAGGATATATACTTCCCTGCTCCCATATCCACCCTTCCTTTATCCCAACCATCCCATTCCCCCAAGCTTCCCCTATCCTCCCCTTCTCACTTTTCTCTCCCCATTTCTCCCTTACCTCCATCCCACCCCACCCCCAAGTTCCCAGTTTTTGCCCAGCAATCTTGTCTACTTCCCATATCCAGGAGGATGACTATATGTTTTTTTTTGGGTTCAACTTCTTATTTAGCTTCTCTAGGATCACAAATTATAGGCTCAATGTCCTTTATTTATGGCTAGAAACCAATTATGAGTGAGTACAACCCATGTTCATCTTATTGGGTCTGGGTTACCTCACTCAGGATAGTGTGGCACTGGGTTTTGATCCTACTGCATGAACTGGCTTTGTGGGAGCCTAGCCTGTTTGGATGCCCACCTTCCTGGACATGGACGGAGGGGGGAGGACCTTGGACTTCCCACAGGGCAGGGAATCCAGACTGCTCTTCAGACTGGAGAGAGAGGGGGAATGGGGTGGGGGGAGGGAGAGAGGAGTGGGAGGGAGTGGGAGGTGGGGGAGGGAAATGGGAGGCGGGGAGGAGGCGGAAATTTTTTCAATAAAAAAATAAATAAATAAATAAAAAGAAAGAAAATCTAAAGGGACATAGGGGATTACTGGTACCAAGACTTCCACCAGGGGTATTGGACAACAATGTACCCCACATAGAGAAAGGGGGTCTACCATATAGGAAGTCAAAGGTCCTCTTCAGAAACCACAGTGAAACATTATGGTGCATAATTTCAATGTCATGACTGTGTGATTGGCTAAAGAGCTGAAAACCCTTTTTAAATATCGACTGCGTTTCTCAATAGATAGATCATGGGCAGATTCTTCTTCTCTAAGGCCATGGCCCTATACAGACAGCAGGAATGAAAATCCCTACTTGACTAGGCCGCAATATGGATTAAGGTAAGGCAGATACGGTCCTCTGCCCAGCTCCTGCCACACGGCAAACGCTCCGTAAGTAATAAGACGTATGATGGCAACATTAGAGTGAATCTGAGTTCAGGCTTGGGTCACCCAGGGCATGTGGCCTTAAACAAGTTACTTAGCTTTACTGAGTTTGGTTTTTCATCTATAAAATAGGAAAGGAAATTTCATTCCGGAAAATTACTGTAAGAATGAAGTAACACTGTGCAGGTGGACGCACTCACAACAATGACTGACTTCCCTTACTAAATGTGGGGTTTTGTTCTTTCTCGATTCTGTTTGAATACGTAAATGTTTCTAATTAGCTAGAACACTTCTGTGCCATTGGGAGGGAGCTAAAATTCAAGTTACATATAAGAATAAAATCCTCACATCTGACTCTCGGGAGTAGAGGTATGGAGGGGGAAGATGGATTTCGAACAGGGACGACAGTTCAGCTGAGTAACATCGCACAAGCATGGGGCTCTAAGCTCCATTTTCAGGCTTGTAGTCCTGGTGCTGAGGGAGCAGACGCAGAAGGGTCTCTGGCCTCACCAGCCAGCCAGAAAATCCAGTCAGTGAGCCCCAGGTCCCAAACAAGGTAGGCGGTACCTGAGAAATAACACCTGCCTCTGCTTCTCTATGCACATTTACACACAAGTACCTGTGCACTAGGGCAAGTGGGCACACACACACACACACACACACACTGGGCTATACATTTATACCTGCATGTGCCTGTACAGACACCAACCACAAAACAGTCTCAAGAAATGTTCAACTTGCTACCAACAAAACTACAGCACACAGTAATAGAAATGCAAAAAAAAAAAATTGAATTCCAATCTCCTTAAAAGGAAAATTTTTCATAATTGGATCAATGTTCAATATAACCAAAAACAAGTGTTCTCTCAAATCCTACCAATATAGTTATATCATCTAAAATTTTCAACTTTTAATTATAAGTGAATACTGGATGCTTCTTATTTTTGTGTCCTTTAAAGAACAGTTGTTTATATGAACTAACATCCTTTTCTTTAACCTCAGATTGTTTTTCCACTTGGTTCTTTCAGGCTGGCCTTGTGCCATGCCGACAGTTTTAAGGAAAACCCACCAGATGGCTCATTCTGCAAAGGAGCTAAATTCTAACTTCTCAGGAACAGAAAAGAATTTTCACGGACTTCCTTTTAGCCTAGGACGGTGATAAAGATACCCATATCTGACATTTTTAAAAAGATGAACACATTCTAATTTCGAAATCCTGCATTTGGGTAACATAACAAACCCCAAATATTAATTGGCATAGAAATTAATGAGGTACTTTCCCAACAAATAAAATACTTTTTGCTGATTAATCCTTCCAACATTATATCTGATTAGAAAAAAAAATTTCTTTACCTTTGTTATTTAAAGCTAGTGTTATTTTGCATTCTCACTTACTCTTAATTTCAGCCGAAGGTCTGCGAAGTCTACAGCTATTTAAATAATATGGTAATTGTCCTTTAATTAGAAACGTTGGCACTACAGTAATCTGTTTACATCGGTACTGGACAACCGCCAACCTGCCGCTTAATACCATCGCTGTAGCTCAGTTGTCGGACTGCATGCTGATTTCAGATATAGTTTTACAAAATGGGAACAGTAGGGGGCACGCAGAGCTCGAGATGTCTATTATACTGTATTAGGAGGCCTGTTTCACTCTCTCAGATCTACACTCTTATCTGTTTCGATGCTCTCAAGGTTGAAGTCCTCTTTAAGTATGTTCATTGTTTATAATACAGACATTATGTTCTGCAAAAACTCTGCCTTTCTCTGCCTTGATTATAATGCTCTGTGGTGTTCAGCTTACTCTAGACAACTCTCTCTCCTCTCTCTCTCTCTCTCTCTCTCTCTCTCTGTCTCTCTCTCTCTCTCTCTCTTTCTCCTGTGTGTATATATGTGCATGTGTGTATGTGTGTGTGGGGGGGGGGGGTGGTTAGAGGAAATTTTTAACTATGAGTCTAGAAACGGTGTACATTGCACTTTACACACTGATTCCCAAAACCTACTTAACTGTGAAAATACTATGTAAATGGAAAGCATTATGCAAATGATCATTGTAAACACTGTGCTTGCATGTGAGATTTTATTAAAGAACACTAATTCTCATTACAAACACAAATACTGTTCTATCTTTAAATATTCAGGAGATAAAAATGGATGATTGTGTAAGGCATGCAAAAATTGTGCAGTGATTTCCTTTATGTGTGATCTTTTCTAACCAAGTATCTTCCCAAATGTGTTAGAACCTATGCATCATAGCCAAGCCTGTAGTTTCTGTTCATCACATCCAAACCCAAAGAATTGTTCCAAGTTCTCCTTAAGGGAGTTCAGAAGTAGAATGACTTGGAACAGGTAAAGAACAACGTATTCATTATTTCAACATGGCTTTGCCCTTGCAGAATGAGAAAGAAAGTGACAAGGTGAGCAAGCGTTCGGCGAGGGCACCTGTTCATTGACTCTGGAATGGGAAGGTCCGTGATGGATGAGGATCTTCACAATCTCCACGTCTCCTCTCCAGGCAGCCAGGTGGATGGGGAAGTAGCCTTTGTTGTCTGCTACGTTTGTCGATGCCTCATACTGAAGGAGCTTGAGAACTATGTCCCTGAGGGAAAGAGAAAACAAAAGGAGAGAAGAAAACAACAGAAAAGAAAAGAGGCTGAACAACGCAGATTTTCTTAGATAACCAGGTGTGCTTACTAGAGACTAGCTGGCTCTTATAGCAGTCATTCAAGGCACTGCCATTTAAGATTGGGATTAAGAGTCCACATAGTGGATATACTATTTTACTTATGTAGAAAGTACACAAAAGCCCTCCCAAATCACACACACACACACACACACACATGCACACATAAGCACACACATGCACGCACATATCATACACACACACACATGCACGCACATATCATACACACACACACACACATGCACGCACATATCATACACACACACACACATGCATGAACATATCATACACACACACAAGCACACACATGCATGGACATATCATACACACACACACATACACATGGGTATCCATATACCTAGAACATTGACTAAGCAGTTAAATTACTTAATAGAATCCATTTGGACAACATATATCTTATTTCATGAATAGATGAGTTAAGTCAATGAAACATCACATCATCACCTCCTCCCGTTCTGTGAATGATTTAGAACCTAAATCTAAAGACCGGCCTGAACCAAAGCTGAATTTATAAGCAAACCCGCTGTTTCCCAAAACTACCGCATACCAAGATGAATTTGGAGGACTTAAATGTCACCCCTAGAGAAAACAGGAGTGAAGGAGTTAAAATGTATGTAAGAGAACTTTAGGTCCATGGGTAGGGGAGCCAACAACCTAAGTACAGTATTAGACACGATTCAAAAGCAAGCTCTGCTAGCTGTTCACACAGAGCACACAATGCGGTTGAATGTCTGATCCATCCTGCTTTCCTTTTTCTCCTTCAAATCCAGGAAGTGACCCCAAGAATGGAATTCAGGTAAGAGAGAAGTTCCATTAGTGGTGTAGTCTTGGGACAGCTCACATGCTACCCATAAGGCTTCTTTATTTCAAACCCACCAGACTCCCAGAGTAAAAACCTTCATTGACATAACCTCAGAAAGAACTGATTAATACTACCTAGTATATATTATACTGAACTTTGCATAAAACGATCCAAAATGTAACTCTAAACCAAAGTCGCATTTTCATTTGGCTGCATTTGGACGCAAATTCTAATAATTCACTAAGTGAAACCCCAGACAGACTTATGAGTAAAGGCAGGCAAAAATAGTTATGTATGTACCATTATAAACTGAAGTCTATCTTTAGGTTAAAAAAAATCACCAATAGAAAGAATGAACATAACAGAAAGACCTGAATTTAAATTTTTCATGAGGTTAAACTAAGAGTCATAAATGAGAAAAATGAGCGACTGTTTAGAAAGAAATGAGGTCAGAATCCCATTAGTTCACAAGAAATGGATGTAACACAACATAACAATAAATGGTAAATCACACTGCCCAAAATGCAGCCTAGACAGCAGCTGCAGGACATGTGAAATTGCCATGACGAAAGAGAGAATGTGTCATAGAAATACATATGCGTTCCGAAGAATCTTAATCTTCTAATGGTGAGATTTTTGAGAAACAAAGACACAAATTCTATCTCTTTTAAGAGCTGATTATATTTTCACATGTGTGGATATGCATGTCCGGATGTGCACAGTATAGATGGGGTGACTGTGGAGACCGGAATAAATCAGATCCCCATGAGGTGGAGTTACAGGCAATTATCTGCCGCCCAGCGTGGGTGCTGGGAACAAGCCCTCTGGAAGTGTTCTTAACTGCTGAGCCCTCCTTCCAGGCCCATAAATTATTTCCTGACATGTCCTTTAGAATTTATTATTTAACAGGATCTGAATTTAGAAGGCTGGGATTTGTGACGAGGCTATGCAAATTACCCAACTCTTAATTTTGGCGGCGTTTTCTCTTCCTTTCTGGAAAAGACTCTGGAGCAACAAAGCAGTCCTGACAGCTGCAGCCTGGTAAGGCTACAAAATGGGATAACTTGGAACCCACTGTGTAAGCATGAGGATTGTATCAAATAAGAACATAGACAAGGAGAAGTGGAATCAGACTTTGAGACTTTGACTTGGTTCCCATGATCCTCCTATCGCTGCCACGTAAGAGCTGTTCTGGAGTCTTCGATTCTGAGATAAGTAAATGACCCGTGAGAAAAGAGGATTCAATCAATAGTTCTGAGTAAGAAAAACCCACTAAGAATCTAACTTGAAGTCCCAAATCTCTACCAGTTAAAAACTTAGTTACTTGAAGCAAATCAAGTCTTTCCTTACCTCTTTGACTGCTATTATGGAATTTAGATATTACATTCTGCTATCAGTTCCAAAGGGCTGTGATACAAACCAAACGAGAAGGCTATGGCTGTGGATGCTACATCATCCAAACTATTCTCAGGACAGGCTGTTGTCCTGTTGAACAATTCCAGTGATTCTTTTAAAAACGGGTGGGGGGAGGAGGTAAAATAAAACCAAAGGAGGTGGTCAAACTAAATACCTAGTTCTAAGAAGAAAGTGTCCTAGAATAAAATCAATTTCTCCAAATTCATGGTAAAGACAATTATGAGAAAGCTTTTAATTTCATTTCTTAATATCTATGCAAATAAAACAATCTTAAAACTAACTCTTTGTAAAAAAAAATGTTTCTTAGTTTTGATATAGATCGGTTTTACGCCCAAGAATTTATAAATCAAATTTACTTACTATTATAAAATATTAAGACAGTGGAGACCCAATCTAACTATACTATCTAGAAATGGGCCCTAGGGGGCATGAATAGAAATGGGTAAGGTAACTGTGGTAGAGCCTCCTATGGATATCACTGGCTCTCTAAGAAAGACAGGAAGAAACAAACATGCACATCCACTAGCCTTGTGGTAACGTGCATCACCTTGGGACTCTGCCATCTAGAACAGCATCACCAGATGCGGGCCTTTAATGCCACACAAAATTAAATTTCAGGCACTTTCTATGGCTCCTGATATTAAGGTGTAGTAGAATGCATACTCCGTATTTTTATTTTTATTTAGTTGAACCATTCTCATTTAGAAATATCAGCAAACGAAGATGCTGACAGTGCTTCACCACCTGGAATAAAATCCTGTTATATAATTGACATCTGCAGAATAACTGGCAGCAAAATGATGCCTGCATTTTCCCTCTCTTTCTAAAGTTACCCGGCCTTGGATAGCTCATCACAGTGATATAACACAGGCTGAAACACCTTTCAAAGGGGAGATAACAAAAGGAAACATCGATGGGAACGAAGCTTCTCTTGTCTTTAACTCCCACCCAAAATTCAGAATTTGTCCTTTAACTCCAGTTTTTATAGGCCATGAGCATTCATTGTTTACCGCGAAAATTTATGATACACTGAAAAGTGTTTCTTTCTAAACAGTGATTAAATAGTGTATAAATAACATTGTGATTATTTAATACCTAAATCAGAAAGGGATAATCTATATGCTTATAACTTACAAGGTCATAACCAAATATTATCTTTTTAAATTTATTACATTCGTTTATTTGATTGGGGGACACCCATGTGTAGAGGTCAGAGGGCACCTTGCCAAAGTAGGATGTCTCCTTCCATCGTGTTGGCACTGAGGATAGAACCCGGGTCATCGAGCTTGACAGCAAAAGCCTTTGCCAACTGAGCCGTCTTGCTTGATGTCTCAGTTGCTGTCTTGATTTTTAAATGTGTTCATTCAAGTTCTTATTTTTCTACAGTATCAGGGGATTGGATTCAGGACACTGGATGTGTAAGCAAATGCTTTAGCTAACATGCCTGACATTTTTTACCTTATTCTGAGAAAAGGTCCTGCCCAGCTAAAGGATGCTCTTCAATCTGGGACACGCTTGTGTCAACCCCCGAGGGCCTGATAGTAAATATGTACCACTCGATAAGCATGCACACCTTTAAATTTAAATTTCCCTTTAAACCTTTATTTGAGTTTTATGACTTTATCCAGACACGTTAGCTAGTGAACCAGCTGAGTTTAGGTTCAGTTTGAAAACACACTTATTAGACTTCTAATCAAGTAAGTACCTGGCGGTTTTACTGAACTGTAAACACACTGAGGAATTAATAAACTGTCATTAACCCTTTTCATGCTGTATCTACATGGATCAAACCTAATTATAATTAAATAGCCTTTTCATACAGGCTTATAAAGAGCGAATTAAAATTTGAGTACTTTTTATATTATTTAAATTTGAAAAATCACAGAAATACTAGCTCAATGTTATGACTTTTTATTTTCAATTAGAGTGTATCTAATCATGTGTTCAGAGGTGCCAACAGACTGTGCTGAGCTTGCTTCATTCTTAGAATAAGATATTGAGTTCACTGATGATGTCTATAGACTAGCAAGTAGCAAAGCAATCCCTGCATTTTACAAATAAAGTAAAAATGTTTCTTACAGTCACCATTCAATAGTGGGCTGTAAGATACAGTCAGCATCTGACAACTGACTGTGATCCAGGGTTAAAGGTGTGACTTGTGACAAAGTACACACTTAGCATGTACAACATGCTTGCAATGCTAGCCCCAACACACACACACACACACACACACACACACACACACACACACGACATTCAGAAATCCTAATATAAATGTGGTGGATGGGGTCACAGAGAAAGTAATTTTATTGCCAGAGGCAAAATAAAATATTAAATCAAAAAGTAATCCAATTTAGATAATTTCATTCTTTTGTGGCTTTAAGGTAATATATGTAGATTCAGATAAAAATACAAAATTTTAAAGTACTGGCTTTTTCTACTTTCACTTGTATTTATGTTCTGATAAATATAAAAACATTTCTGATTAGTATTAAATAGCTTTGAAAAACTTCAGAATAAATTCTAAGCAAAATTAAAGTAGTTGGTAGGACCAACTTTAATTTTTTTCCTTTTTTCTTAACAAGATCCCATGTAACTACATTACAGCCAACAATGCTTTTTTTGTCCTGCTGCTTGTCAGTAAGTCTCAGAATAGCAGCTTCCTCTGGCTACAAAATTAACCAAAGAATCTCTCAAAGTCCATAAGGCTAGATCTGAGACTTCCCCGAGGCTATCCACTTCTCTTCACAGCTAAGTCTCAGGTCTGTGGCGTGCCCAGAAGACTTGGGGACACACATTCCACTCTCACTGAAGTTTCTTTATAGACTTAATTCACACTTACAATTTCTAGATTGTGGGAATAAAGGCAGTAAAATCAAAGATGCTTCTAGTTATACCAACATCTTCAGATAACCGATTATAAAATTTTAGAATATTCCTTTCATTTAAAAAAAACTAAAAAGGAAGTAAAAGCAAAACCATAAATAACTTACTCTTTCAATTCTAGCCACAATTTATCACAGAATTTAGATTACAGATTCTAGAGTCTATAAAGTATTAAATCCTAAAAGAAATAGAAGAATAGAAACTATTTTAACTCTACACATACCATATCATATATTATAGTTATTATATAGAATATATTATATATTTCCAAGGAATAAAGAAATTCATTGACACTTTTATTTAGTATCCAAGTAATATCACAGCACAGCCAATATAGTCTGAGAAATGACTGAAGACAAATAAGAAGCCATTTCCTAATTAAAGAAAGGAAATAAAAGTACTTGAGTTTAATTTTGAAAAACATTATTGAGAAAGATAAAATTATTTTTTGAAAAATAGCTAGGCATGCAATCCCGGCCCTTGGAAGATGGAGACAGGAGAATAATAAGTCTCTCAGAATCAGCTTGTAAGAATCGCCCCTCCCCAAAGAAAAAGACAAGCAAGCAACAACAGAAAAGAAAGAATAGAAGGGGGGAGAGGGAAGTGCCTATTAAGGGAGCTGTACCTGTCAGTAGAGAGCTTGCCTAGCGTGTATGAGGTCTGGATTCCCACCCCAGGTATGAATTAACTATTTAGTTACAAAAATAAGACAAGAGTACAGAAGAGGGAAGGAAAATCAAACAGGAGAGAGGCATGGGAGCGAGAAAGCACAGGGCGGGAGAGGATGGAAAGAGAAGATGTGGGGAGTGGGGGGGTGAGGGAAGACTGGGAATATTACTCTATTCTCTTCTTCTCAGAAGAGAATGAAGGGATTCGTGTTCGCAGTGTGAATTGTTTACAAGCATTCCAGTAGCTTTTGTTCTATTGACCATGATTTTTCTGTCATTTGAAAGTAATAACTTTCCATTTTGTCATTTTGCCAATGATCCAGGAAACCAATAGAGCACAGTTTCTGTTGGCTCCAGCGTGGCTGATTGGAGAGGAATTACTCTGTAAGAAGCAACAAATCACAGGGGAGGAGGAAATGCTTGTCCCTTTGTGGATTAACATGGACCCCCAGGGAAATGCTCCAAGGAGGAAGAAGTGGATTCAATTTGCAGTGTGAAGGCTTAGGGCTGGTCACATGTTGGGAATGGGGGAAATCTGTACGGAAAGGAAAAGAATAAAATACAGGACCCTGCAACATTCTCCCCGGCTTTGTGAGTCATGAACTTTAGCCTAGAGATTACATGTATAGAAACAATCTAGGAACCACAACAGCAACAAGAACGGAAAATGCTTTGATATTATCTGCTCAGGTTTGTGTTAATGGCCTATACTAAGTAACACTAGCCAACAAAAGAAGTGTCGTTCCTTTATACCTTCAGTGATAATTTTATCTCCTTAAAATATATTTTTTTTACTTAAGACAACATTTAGAATACCCACAGGATATACTAATTGATAATCCTGAGAGATATCTTAGAAATACATAATGTGTCATAGACAAGCCAGGAAGAAGTTAAACGCTGGGGGACGTAGCATGGAGAACTGACAAGGGCATACACATGTAAACAGAATGCTGAGGGTCTCAGTACACACCCGCCTTACCATCAATGTGGCCACAGCATCGTTTATCCTGAATGGCCCGCTTTGTCCATCTAGCCAATAAGAGGGATTGGGTGGGACAAGTGGTGTCTAACTGTAACCGTTTATAGGTAAATTAAACATACCAGACTCAAGAACTAGCCCTTATAATCCAACTTTCAGAACTACTGCATCACAATACATAACCGAGAAACAAGCAATGCATAATGTATATATCAAAAATGGAAACAATGGAGACTATGTAGCCAATGTGTTTGATACACACTGAACTGAGACCTAAAAATGTTACAGTTAACACAGCTTAAAGGCAAGCAGCTAGCAAGTTAAATATTTCTGTGCTTTTCCCATAGCACATCCTATAAGATGATATTAAGAAAATTGTTACTAGAAAGTATTTGAGAGATAAATGAGCTCATCAGATAAAATGAAAAACAAATAAGTAAAGAATTTCTGCATTGAACAGGAGGCTTGGAAATACCGAGCTGGATCCTATTTTCTTTATGCCAATCTTAGTGATTACTGTTCAATTCCTTTACATTATCTTCTTCACTTTATATACAGATAACAGGAACAAACAGTTATATTTTCCAGGCCATCATGTGCAAAACAGCAACGTTCACTAAATAAATTTGCTGAAAATTGAGAAAGTGTCCGAGTCCTAACCTGCTTTCATGCAGTCTGTAAGTGTTTATAGAGAGTGACCCTGTAAGAAAGAAATGAATGGAACTCAGCGTCAGGCCCCAGACACTGGATACATCAGGCCCTCTAGACTTTCCCTTCATCAGAAACCTAAACTCTGAATTAAGTGAAAAAGAAACATTATTATTTGTGACTTCACCTGATTTGCATTTGCCTTGGAATCATGCAGATACAATAAGGATAAATAATAATTTCACCTTTTAAGGAGAAGTGTGGTGTGAGCAGGGCATGGTGACTCAGATCTGAAATCTGCTTTTTCCAGGTACAGGTCACGAGACTGAAGCAAGGTGGGACTGTATAGGCAAGAGCCTATCTTCCAAAGGAGAATAAGGACAGACAGACAGACAGACAGACAGACAGACATGCAAACGTATTTTCCATTCTATAGAAAAACAATTTAGTAATAAAAAAATCCTGTGAAAACAAAACATTCTAAGATAAATGGGATATGATTACACAATATAAAAAATTAACACATAAAAATAAATGTAATGTTGCAATCTAGTACTAAGAATCCAAATAAGAAAACATTACACTTATAATATTTTATGCAATTCAAATGATTGTTTAAATGTCCTGATAACATTAGATTTACATAGTAAGTTTTAATTAGCAAAACTGTTGTAGTAATAAATAATGACAAACTGTAAATCTTTTGAAGTTGGAGCTTTCTGGTCACCAGGCAAATCAAGTATAAGTAAGGCCTGCGTGTTTCAAATTTAAATAAATATTTGGTGGGAGGGGAATATACATATGCCTTTTTGTTTTATTGTATTGTGTTTTTTTTTTTTTGCTATAGGCTCTCAGGTAGCTCAGCCTGCCCTTGAACTCATGAAGTAGCCAAGGACGATCTTGAACTCCCGATTTTCCAGCCTGGGCTTCCCAAGTGCTGGGATACAGGCAAGATTTGACTAGCACACTCCATCCAAAACACTAAAGTGAAATGAGACGAGCCAAACCTGGGGAAACTAACTTGCACCATTCCTGCAGAAGAAAGACAAAAAAGGAAAGGGAGACACAGAAAAGGCAACCTTCTTCTTCTGGTAGCAAAAGACAGAACATTTGTGTCCCCGAGAAAAGACAGAACATCTTATCACTAAACCATTAGGTTACCTCGATAAAATACCAGATATAAAATACTGGTTGTAGCTGTATGTTCTCTCGTGCACCATAGCATAAATTAGCACAGCAATTAAAACATTAATTCTGTAGGATCAAACAGTTCAGAGCTGAGACACGTGACTGTGGATGATAGAGAAAATATCACAAAAGTGCCCATGGCTTATAAGGGCAGGACTCTAGCAAGAATCTACTTCAGTGTTGAGTGGATATAGGCAAATGTCAAGAGAAGATAATCAGTGGTTCTTATCCCATTCTTTCCCTAAAACCACACAGGATTAGCATGTCCTGTCTCTGCTTCTACCACCCGTGTGTGATATCTTTTACTACCTCTCAGACTGCCTCTTTGAATTAACATTCTAAATACATGCATACTCAATGATATTCCTCCCAAGCGTAATTCGTCAGTGTCGTCCTCCCTAAATTGCCTAAGACCAGAAGAGAGGCATCAACAGACAGAACTAATGTTATCAGATGACATGTAACTAAATACATGCAACTTCCAGTCCAGACAAGCGGCACTTACTTATGTCCATTTAAGGCTGCGTGGTGTAAAGCGGTGTAACCCGAACTGTCCGTGCAGTTCACATTGGGACCTCGCCAGATGCTGCAAACAAAACACAGGCACAGGGTTAACCGCTGTGCAGTCACGCTTGCAAGAGCCGCACAGTCCCACAGCAGGCGGGATAGAGCACAGGAAACCCGCAGTTCTGAAGGAAATGAACGCCATCTTTCATGCATACCCCAGAGGGCAACTGCATCGATTTGACATTCATAGAGAAATTCAACAGCAAATGTAACCATCTTCGAAAATTATTGGTGAGTGTATGTTCACTGCCACGCATTAAGTTGGGGTCCAATATTTCCCCCTTACTCCCTCTTATCACTTAAGTGTTAACATTCAGATATTATACACTAAAGAATAAAGATTGTGACACTGGTCTCCACTCTTCTATCGCACTCACTCCGGCGTGGCAGAGATTTGTGCGCACTGTTACACATTTTTACATCCTGGGAAGAACATAAGCTCTTCTTGATGTCCCATTGCTACCAAGAAAGTGTAACACATATTTTCTAAACTGCAAATAAAATTGAAGATTTGGTACATTGCAAACCACAAGATCCCAACAATTATGTACCTACTATGGGTTTTACTATGCAATATATTCTGGAGCTAACACGGAAATAGAAAAGCTCTTTCTATAGTTGATCACTGCAATTAAAGAAATTGTTTTTCGCCTTTGGAAAAAATACAGCATTGGAAGATGCTTTTCTTTTTTTAATTTTTTAATTCATTTATTTATTAAAGATTTCTGTCCCTTCCCTGCCACCGCCTCCCATTTCCCTCCCCCTCCCCCAATTAAGTCCCCCAGCCCCTCAGCCCGAAAAGAAATCAGGGTTCCCTGTCCTGTGGGAAGTCCAAGGAACCTCCACCTCCACCCAGGTCTAGTACGTTGAGCATCCAAACTGCCTAGGCTCCCACAAAGCCAGTGCGTGCAGTAGGATCAGAAACCCATTGCCATTGTTCTTGAGTTCTCAGTAGTCCTCATTGTCCACTATGTTCAGAGAGTCCGGTTTTATCCCAGGCTTTTTCAGACCCAGGCCAGCTGGCCTTGGTGAGTTCCCAATAGAACATCCCCATTGTCTCAGTGTGTGGGTGCACCCCTCACGGTCCTGAGTTCCTTGCTCGTGCTCTCTCTCCTTCTGCTCCTGATTTGGACCTTGAGATTTCAGTCCTGTGCTCCAATGTGGGTCTCTGTCTCTGTCTCCTTTCATCGCTTGCTGAAGGTTAATATTCAGGAGGATGCCTATATGTTTTTCTTTGGGTTCTCCTTATTTAGCTTCATGGGATGTACTCACTCATATTTGGTTTCTAGCCATAAACCAAGGACATGGAAGATGCTTTTCTAAGATCAAGATGAAAATGACTTTATCTGTTGTTCATGCTGACACTGAAATTATAAAAGATACTAACTAATGACAATTTTTTATTCACGAAATATTTAGAATGCATTTTCTCTTCAAAACCTGGTCCTGTTACCTTCAAGGAGTGGTTTTACAGAGCTAAACAACACCCCTCTGAAGTTCAGCTCTTCATTTGTAAAATGGGGATGACGATATTAACCCCATTTTCCAGTGTCCTTGTGAGGGTCAAACAAACCAATGCTGATAAGGCCCACAGGAAGTCCGTTTGCTGGTAGAGACCTCAAATCTTAATAGGATACAGAGAGAGGACCGTTAGACAGCCAGACTCAGTTATACAGTGAGTTCCAGACCATGCCAAACTACAGTGTAAAATATGGTCTCAAAAAAATAAACAAACAAAAACTTCAAAAAAATCAATGCAACCTTGCTAGAACAAAATACTAGCATATACAGAAATGCACAAATGAAATATAGAAACATTTGTGGGCTAGAAAGATGAGTCTAGGGTTTAGACCACTTGCTGCTCTTGCAGAAAACCTGGAATCAGTTCCCAGCACCAACAAGGCAGCTCATAGCCATCTCTATCTCCAACTCCAGGGAGGCTGGTGCCCTAGCTTAATCTTCATAGAAACACTGTGCATAAGTGCACACACACACACACACACACACACGAAAAAGAAAACAAAGATACCGTAATGATTTCCTTCACAAAGAATGAAAAACTGTTCCAAATGAGAGCTCACAACATAGTTAAACAAAAGACAGGAAGGGTCATTTCACAACTATTAGGAACCTGATTTGACAAGAATACAGAATATTTTAAATGTTTTTTTTACATATAACAAGAGATCTTCAAAATAAATTAAACAAAACCTGACACCACTGGAAAGAAAAAAACAGACCTACACACCTTTATCCTTAAAAAAAATTAAACGCCTCAATTGACAATATAAAAATAAAATCAGTAAGGGATTAAATAATATTATCAACCAACTTTACCTAACTAAAATATATGGAACAGTCTGTGCAATAATGATAGAACAATAAAAGTTTTTTTGCAATAAACTCAGGATATTTATCAAACCACAGCAAACTGTGAACCATAAAACAGTCTCAGTATATATGAAAGTATTCAGATCAAGCTGCATTCTCTAATTACAGAGAAATTAAATTAGAAATCACTAGCAAAGAGGTATCTGGAAACCCCAGTGCTATCAGCTAAATAACATCTATGTCAACGAAATAACAAAAAGGAAATTGCAAAGTATTTTAAACTTAAAGAAAACAAACAAAAACTCATATGACAGTGTACTAAAAGGAAAGCTGATATTACTAAAATGCCTAGTTAAGTCAGAAGAAAGGCCTCAAATTGATCACCTCAGCTTCTACTTTAGGAAACAGAAAAACAGAGCTAGAGAGATAGTTCAGCCATTAAAGGCTCACACTCAGATTCTACAGGACATGAGTTGCATTTCCAGCACCCGTATAATCTAAGCCTGTCTTTCCAGGGTCCCTTTTCTGCCCTCCAATGGCACCTGTACCACACATGGCAGAAACATGTGCACGAACGCATGCATATGTGTGTGCACACACGCAGACACACAGACACACACCAGTAAAAAAATCTTTTAAATCAGAACACTTTAGCAAAAAAAAAAAAAGAGCTAAAATAAGGATAAATCTTGAATACTTATTCTCCAAAGGAAATATAAAAATATACAAGAGGCATATGAGAAAGCATATAATTTCTTTAATCACCAGATCTCACCAATAATCACTTTCACAAGTCAAAAACAGTATGAACTATTAACACCAGCATTAGGATGGTTGTTCTCATTCTATTCATAGCTGTTTCTACAAAGTCAAAAAGTACTTCCAAAAGTTTTGGGACTAGAAAGTGTCTGTATATGCTAGCAAAGATACAGTATCTATGAAAACACTACGGGGGATATAAAATAAATTAAAAATAGAACTTCAAAGGGACCCGGCAATCGCATTTCTGAACATATACCAAAAGAAACAAAATTACCTTTGTGGCACTAAAGATAACACTCCTGTGTGCACTAGCATCACTATCCAAGAATAGCCGAGCTAGTTAAACCACCTTGATGCCTGTCAACCAACAAATGAATAAAGCAAGTGTGGCATAAACATATAAAGGAAAACCACTAGTGTCAAAGAAAGCACAGCCTGCCATTTGCTACAGCGTGGGTGAGCACAGAGAACGACACCCTAAGAGAAACAGTCGGACACAGGAAGAGAAGTACTGTACATCAATGTTGGTTGAAACGCTATTCACAATGCCTACGTGGGAACCAGCCTAGGTGTCCAAGGACCAAGAAAATGTGATCTAGATACACAAGGGAAGTTGTTCAGCCAGAAAGAAGAACGGAGTTACATCACTTGTAGAAAGATGGATAAAACCTCCAAGAAGAGTATCAAGCAAATTAAGTCAGTCACAGAACAACCAGTATCAAGCTTTCTCCACTTTGTGGTTTCTAGATTTTTAGAGAGACACCTAAAAATGTGTATTTAATAAAAATACACACACACACACATTTATATAAGAAGAATGTTCAAATGAAAGTAAACAAAAGAGGAAAGGAAAGGAAGGCATGGAGCAGAGAAACGTGGAAGATTCTGCTCAACATACATACGTGTAAGAAAACATTCATATATATGTCCATACATATACATATATGTAAATACCATACATCTTAAAAATATCATTTATGATAAACAATAGAGGAAACAAAAGAAGCCATTTTATAGGCTGCTAATTGAATTCAACAACATTCTTAGAAGTTACCATGACATAAAAGTATTGATATAAAGACTGCAAATACGATTTATGGCTTTAATGACAGAAAGAGAATCATATGAGCACCTTCAAGAAGAGAACAAGGATTTATCAGCACTGTGGAATTGGTTCCCTGCGGAGTCTCTGGACTATGGAAGGCTGCACAACTGCTAGTGTAAATAACTGCGATCTCTTTGTGTGCACCTCAAAAGTTAACAAAACCATAGTAAGTGAAAAAACAAACTACAAAATCCTTTATTTGATTCAGAATTCCAAATGCTTTATATGCAATAGCTTCTTTGCGTCTACATACAAATGAGCCATATTAGCATTTTTTTTAGAAAAACACATACAGTTCCTTCTCAGCCTCTGGACTTACCACAGGGCAGGGAACCCGGACTGCTCTGTGGACTGGAGAGGGAGGGGGAGAGGAATGGGGGGAGGGGAGAAGGGTGGGAGGAGGGGGAAACTTGTTTTTTGTTTATGTTTTTTTAAAAAAAAATAATAAAAAAAATGAAAAAATAAAATAAAACTAAAAGCTTACAAACAATGTGACAGAAAAAAAAATCCTTGGTGGAAAAAAATGCATACAAAGATACATTCAACTCATTTAATGTTTGAACAATATCATCGAAGGAGGGGGTAAAGGTTAGGAGAAAAGGCAGGTTCACTAGTCACTTTTCTCACCTGCAGCCAAATATCTAACATAAAAGAGAAGTTTACACTGGGGGACAGGACAGGCGCAGCCCATCACACTGAGGAAGGCATGGCCGCAGGTGTAGCCCGTGGTGGAGGCAGCAGCCGCTGGCCCACATCTCAACAGCTTAGAAAATACAGAAAAGACAATGTCAGTATTCATCTGGCTTTCTGCTTTCTCCTTT